CTTCTGACCCTTAATCTATGAATCTATGAATCTATGAAAGATCATGAGTTAAATTTGGTTAGACTGAGTGCACATTAACTCAGTGGTGCTCAACCTTTCAGCTCCACTGAATCAGTGGTGCTCAACCTTTCAGCCCCACAAGCCGGATAAGTGGCATAAGGCAAGTCTGTTTACCAGATCAGGAGTGGGATCAGCGCACGTGGTCAGTCTGTCGGTGCAACCTGGAATGCCAGCCCAGCCCTGTGTGCCAGATCCTGCCATGGACCAGCCCCCTGTGTCAACCCAGCCTGCACATTAGATCCAGGCATAGAACAACCCCATGTACTGGCCTGAGCTCACATGCCAGATCTGGCTGTGGAGCAACCCTGCAAGCCAGCCTGACCCACAGTGTCATCTGGCCCATAGGATTCCCCATAGGTCCAGAAATCATTAAAGGAATTAAATAAACTGGCCTTCCATTCCAACCTGCTGCTCCTGATATCCCCAGCAGGCATAAAACCACAGCTGTGAGACACCTACTGTCTGCCTCTAGGCTAGTGCTTCTGCCCGATCTCCACAGAAATGGCAGGCTGCAGTTAGAACAACAGAAAATTAGACCTGACCCTTGAGGAAGCAGCACTAGCAGCCTGGAGAAGCAGCTGTACAGTACTACCTCAAATCTGTGGTACCTCTTATCTGCCTCTCACCTTTCACAGCTGGATAGAAAGAGGAGAAATGGGGAACCATCTGTTGGTGGGGCATACTTTACAAGCAATGGTGGATTAACATTTTTGGGGGCCAGGCAAGGGCAGGTTCCCTCTATGGCTGCCAGGGGGTTGCAGCTGGGCCTGCCTAGCCTCCTCAGCATGTCCAGGGTGAGCCAGGAGGCACAAGCACTGCTGAGATGAAGGCAGCTCTGGCCCCAGCCCAGCCCCTCCACCTGGCAGTTGTGGTAGAGCCACAGCTGTGGTCTCCCAGTGCCAAGGGATGAGCCAGGGCCAGGGACGGGGATGGGGACGGCTTGGGGGACACACAAGCTTCACCCCCAGCTGCCTATCCGCCCCTCTGTCAGCCTGGGCAGGGCGGGGCTGTCCTGTTCTGTCCTGTCCCAGCAGTGCTGGTATCAGTGGCCACCTGCAGATGGCAGGGAGTGGGACCAGTGCTGCCCATGGGGCAGCAGATGGCCCTGGAAAGCTGCCACCACCTGCAGGGAGCCCCATGCCCTCCTCTAGCCCCTGACCCTAGACCTGGCCCTGACAGAGGGGAGAAGGCACGTGTGCTGCCCACCCCATGCCTGCTGCCAGGATGCCCTCCTGAGCCATGGTGCCCCTGGGGCCTCAAGGGGCCCAATTGGCAGGGGCTCCTGGACCCAGGGCCCATGTGCTAATCCACCTGTTTACAAGTATCAGTGACTGTTTACAAGGATCAGTCATTACTGCTCAGTCATTTAGTAGTCGTGTAAACAAGTACCAAATATTCAGCTACTACACAGCAGTGTCACAAAAAAGACGTTCGCCGGCGCTACTGCACAGTAACTCAAGTGACTGAGCAGTCATGTAGTACTTGTTTACACTATGTACTGAAGTACTACATGACTGCACAGTAACCTGAGTAGCACCAATGAACACCTTTTTTGTGAGACTACTGTGCAGTAGCCTAATACTACTGTGCATCATGGTCGCTGCCCTGCTACACCACTGTGCAGTAGTGTCGGGCTACTGCGCAGTCAGCGCCCTGCGTAGACGCAGCCGGTATTCTGTGAGGACGAACCTCGGGGGTATCAGTGTCCTGTGTCGGCCTGACCCAAAGCCCACCGCACTGCACTAGCGTGGGCAGCAGAGGCAGGATGCAGGGCAGCCCCAGCCAAAGCAGTGGAGTATACAGGGGTGCAGGTTGTAGCCATGTTGGGCTAAGGACATAGGCAGACAAGGTTCTTTGGGTGAAACTGATATCTTTTATTAGACCAACTTAAATAGTTGGGGGGATGGGGGGAAATTAGCAAGCTTTTGCGTTTAAAAACCCTTTGTCAGGCTGAGAAAGCCTCTGCAGCTGGTGTGTGCTCTTCCCGGATGGAACGAATAGTAAAGAAGTCGAGGCTGGGCTGGTTTTTAAACCCGAAAGCTTACTTAAAAAAATATATAATAATTTCCAACTATTTCAGCTGATCAGATTCTGAAGCCCCTTGTGGAAGACACAAGGCAGTCAGCTCAGGTCTGGCTCGGGCTCTTCAGCGTGGCTCGGGGACACTCAACCACAGTAGTCGTGGCCGAGTGGTTAAGGCGATGGACTAGAAATCCATTGGGGTCTCCCCGCGCAGGTTCGAATCCTGCCGACTACGGCGTGGGCGGTGCTCCGCTTTTCTCCGCGCTCGCGGCGGCAGTGGAGCTGAGCGGCCAGCCGGGTTGACTTTTGGCTGCACGCCACGGCCCGCCCGGCCCCACTCCCCCCGCTCAGGCGGCCGGCCGCCATGGCAACCGAGGCGGGGCAAGATGGCGGACGGGTTGGACGAGCTGCTGGATCAAGTGGAGCGGGAGCTGTGCGGGCCGCGGGCGGCCGTGAGGCAGCGCCGCGGCGGGCCAGAGGAGAGGGGAGGGTGAGCCGGGCCACCCCGGGCCCATCTGTGCCCGGCGGGGCTGCTGCCCGGGGCCTCGGGGGCTGCTGCTGCTGCTGCCTGGGCAAGTCCTGCGGCCTTCCCGCGGGGCCCGGGTGCCGGTGCTCCGGAGCCTTCCCGCGGGCCCGGGCCGGACGGGCTTGTCCCTGGGCGAGGCCGCAGAACCCCCGCGGGAGTGGGGGCAGGCCGGGATTTGGCCCCTGGTCAGACCGGCGCGGCGTGGGGGCGTCTCGCCTTATGCGGTAGCGGGGCTGGACCCTCGAGCCGGTATCGACAGTTCATGTAAAGACGTTTTACAATAGAAGTTTGCTGCTTCAGCGATTATATGGTTTGACTACGTAACTAATTGGCATATTTCAGAAAATTAGCGATCCCGTTCAGTATTGTACAAAACGAAGGGCTGAGGTACAGGGCTTGTGAGGTATGTGAAAGGGAGGCCAGGATGGTTTAGGCAGGGGTGAGTATTGGCAGAGGCAGGACTTTGGGAAGTGTGTTGCAGATGGTGAGGTGTGTCCTCACATATAACACTGCACATTTTTCTCCAATTAGAAAAAAACTAGAAGTGCTGCTAAGATGCGAGGGGCCTTAGGCTGTCTGACTGTTTAAATTAGAAGTAAAAACAAATACAGCTTCCTGGAGATGAGGTAAAATCCATCTGCAAGGCTGTGAAAAAGGAGCCTCCTCACCAGGTGCAGCAAACAGACAGCAGCACTGCAGAGCAGAGCAGAGCTCAGCTGCAGGTGTGTCCAGACCCTTGAAGAGAAGGGTTGTTCACACCTGTGGAATGAAGTGCTCAGGTCCATGACGATGAGCCACAGAAATCAAAGGGGGTGAATGTGCACCCCCCTCCCCAGATCTGCCCCTGAGGTGAGGGTGCCTTGAGGGGGCAGTGCCTGGCTCCTCCAGCCAGGGGGCTGGGCTGGAGCTGCGCATGGGGCAGGTGGCAGTGACAGCGCTGGGAGAGGGGCTGGGGAGGAGCTATAGTGAATTCTGGGGTGGCCACAGCCCACCCCATAGCCCCCCTCTCCACCACTGCTGCCTGCCCCAACCACATCCCAATCCCCCCCAGCTGGGAAAAGCCCGGCACCAGCCCCAGCCTGCAGCAGTAGCCCACCCTTGCCCCATGCACAGATCGAGGGGGGTACGTGCCTCTCCATGTCTCCCCCAGGGTCCACCAGCGATGGGAGCCACTGAGCCTCCATGTCCCCAGATGAGCCATTCGTGGCTCTGTCCTGTACTTCAGCTGGGCAACGCCTACCCTTGCCCCAAGCCCTACTCCCTCCCTCACTGAGGGGGGACTCAATCTGCGCTCCCCACACCCCTTCCCTCCCCCACAAACTTACCAGCTGACTGCTGCTCTCCAAGCTGCTAGGATGCATATTGGCAGTCAGATGGGTATTGTTAATAATTAGCCATCAGTATTGATCCACAAAATCTTTATTGGTGCACCCCTGTCATCAGTATGAGAAACAGTGTTCCCAGTCCATCATCAACTGTGAAAAGAAAGCTGTCAGTACTAGTGAACACTCACTGTTAGTTTTTTGCACAGGAACATACAATTCTAGGTATATAGTCCAAGTAGACAGTGAGCTGTACTCAGTATTAAGCAGGCATAGGTCCATTGTCTTTTATGGTATGTCACACTGGGGCTGAATTTATCATATAAAGGACAGTCTCACAGATATTCAAATCAAGAAAATTCAGTAAGCATTAAATCTCTTATAATGTTTCCAGGAATATATCTATCTATACAGCAAACTTACTGTGTTTCAGAGTGGTTTTCTCAAATATGCTACATTGTTCCAGGAAGCCTGCTTGCTCAGCTGGAAGCAATGTAGTAGTATCTGTGTACTGTTTCAGGTGAGCTAATTGGCACTACTGGGTTACAGTGTTAATGATAATTAGCCCACTTTTAGTACTACAAAGACAGCACTGCTTTGGCTTCAGATGCACTGTGCCTAAGAGTGCCTCTCTGAAGCACAGTATATTTCTTTTGTAAATATATTCATCTCTCTATTTTGCCATGGACTGTTTGAAAGATTATCTAGCATTGTTAACAAAAACTCTGAAACATTGAAATTTTGCTTCAGAAAATACCTTATATTGATTTTCCTGAAAAATCAGGAAACACGGCAGAATAGAACTATGTATTAAAAATTATAAAAGGCATTGCATTGTGGATACAGCAAGATAGAACTACATACTCAAAATGAAAAAGGGTATTGCATTATTAATTTAGTAGTATGAGTAATTGTACACTGACTTCAAATTAGCTTGTGCTCTTACTGCCACTAAGTGTTCATGCCTTTGACGCTGAAGATATGTTAGAAGGGAAAACATTGGAATGAGTTATACTTTTTTAAATGTGAAGTAGGTGCATTGGAAACTTTTGCAATTAGTGTATTTTTCACTTTTATACAATGAACTTCCTTCTGTCCTATTTTCAGGTCAGCTAAACTATTCACAAAAGGTGAGAGCAGTGAAGAGGACATAGATGACATTATTAATGACATCTTTGATGAAAGCAGCTTTGCAAAAAAACCTGTGGTAAGCAGATATCAGAAACAGTGCTGGAGGGAGGGTCTCAGTTGCAATGTTTTTAGATGAAAAACTAAGAAAGGTGAAATTTTAAGGAGGGGTGGCTCTTTACTCTGGTGTGAAAAAGAAGGGAGACCTGTTGAATTTGGAAGCTCAGACCAAATGTGAACAGCATAGACATTCTGAAATCTGGAAAGACAGAACCAGATTTTCCCTTTAGTATGTAGTCAGTGTAGACAAATTATTACACAAGCTAATACTTTTAGGGTTAGACTTGGGACAGGCCTAACATTTGCAGTGGCATAATGGAGTACATAATTTTGTTATTAATGTTCATAAAAATTAAAAATGCTAGACTCCTTCAGGAGTAGACAGACCTAAGCTGAAAACAAAACCAGCAGTATTGGAGACACAATATTGTTAGAAAGTAGTTTTTTTCTTTAAAAAAAATGTTCTTCTCTACTCTCTGCCTAAAGGTAACCTAAGAGGCTGTTCATTTTAATTTAAAAAAAATATTTCTGTTCATACTATAGATCATTCACCTTCGTTATTCACAGCCTACTGCATGGCAAAGCCTTTTCAATAATGTTTGTCTCTGCTGAAAGGTTCACAATGCTGTTCTGTTTTGTATTCTTAGAACTCCATGCCAAAACACTTACTGTCTCTTCTGCTACTATTTGAGTGGTGTGAATAAGGGTTATGTGTAAAGAGAAAGGTGAATTTATGATGGCAAGAAATGCAAGGCCACCCAGATATCTAGAAATGAAAAATGAGACTGTGTTGTACTGACAGAGACAAGTTTGTCTGACAAAAAATGGAGACTGGAAATGACAAGTGTAGGATGATGCAAAAAAAGGTCCCTAAATGCTGTTTTTTAAAGGCTTTAAACAGGGAGAAGAGTACTGAACTAGATTCTAAAATCCATGGTGTTTGACAAAAATGATAAAGGGCCTGAAAGGCAAGCCATACAAGGAGAGGTTGAAGAAAGTAGGCATGTTCAGTTGCAGAAGAGTCACTTAAGAGGGGATGTGATGGCAATCTTGAGATATCTGAAGGGCTGCCATAAAGAAGCAGGAGAACACCTTTTTTTTCCCCCGTGCTGCAGAGATAAGGACACAGACCAGTGTCATGAAGTTGCAGCAAAGTAGATTTAGACTGGATATCAGAAAAAAACTTCTTCACTGTTAGAACAGCAACGTGGTAAAATGGACTGCCTAAGGAAGTTGTGGAATCTCCATCAGTGGAGGTGTTCAAGAAGAGGCTGCATAAGCACTGAACAGGGATGGTATAGGAGTAGTTACAGCCATGGGAGTTTCCCATGCTTCTGGGCTTGGCTGGTTGCCGCATGAGGCCAGGAAGGAATTTTTTTTTCCCTCCTGCTGCTATATGTATCTGGGTTTGTCTGTTTAGGTTTTTTCCAATTTCCTTAGAAGCTCTGCTGCAGCCATGGCAGGAGTTGTGCCAGTGCTTCTGCTGTAACTAAAACCTGGAGGTTTCTGGCTGCAGGGTCTTGCCCCTCCACTCAAGGTCAAGCCAGTCGCCACATTTGGAATCAGGAAGGAATGGTCCGATTGGTGCAGATTGTGGGGATTTTTGCGTTCCTCTATTGCGAGGGTTGTGGTCCTCTTCCTTGGATCTCTTGAATATATTTTGACAACCTTCCGGCTGTGGACACTGACTGCCATTGTCCCCGTGCTTTATCTATGGCAGGTTAGTTTGTGTGACAAGGTTGATTTGTAGAGTTTTAGTATGAATTTCTGTGGTATGGTTTGGAATAGGAATGATCCTGACTCTGGTAGGGGGTTGGACTAAATGAACTCTAGAGGTTCTTTCAAGCCCTACTTTTCTATGATTCTGTGATTTTAAGAATAAGCCTAGATTATGGACAGATAATTAACAGACTTTGGAGAAGAGGTGTACAGTAGGACATGAAGGAAAGAAAGTGCAGTAGTCTTGTAATGAGAAGCAGTGTTATAAATGGATCATCTTACCAAAGTGCTAATAGTCAGATATAACAGATGGGTCTGAAGAGTTTGGGCCAATAATAATGTTAAGAGCATAGACTGTCAAAGAAGGAAGTGGTTTTGAGTCAAAGAAAGATAAACAGAACATAGGAGTGTCTTTCAGCCTTTTTTCTTGTTCTGGCAGAACAGGGGTGGGCAAAATAGCAGATCCAGTTGGCGTCCGCACTCCATTTCCCACAAGCCCCTGCCCACATTGCTGTACCCAGTTTCATGGTGACCCCAGGAGGAGCAGTGCTGTGACAGTGCAGGGTCAAGGTTTCCATGGAGACCAGTCCCAACAGTACTGGCGCGGTGTATGGCTGGGCAGGGAGCTGCTTTGGGGTCGGGGCTAGGATTTTGCAGTGGTGACAGGTGGTTCAGAGATGGGGCATAGCCATGATCCTCTGCCTGCATGACCCTGCCCAGGGCACATGGACAATGGATCACAGCTCTGCCCCAGGTCCAGACCACACTGTCACCACCGCAAGATCCCAGCACCGGAGCAGCTCCATGTCCAGCTCTGTACACTGCTGGGGCTAGTCTCTATGGAAGCACTAGTCCCCACGGTGTCACAGCCCTGTCACTCCTCGGGTCTCCATGGAAACCAAGCGCAGTGACATGGTCAGGGGCTGCTGGGAATAGAGTTCGCTGCAGGCTGGGCTTTGGCCACCCCTGTGTTAGAAGTACATCTGTCATTGGCTGGAGGAAGTGGCAATGAAGCCACAAGCTGGCTTGTTCAGAACAGGCAAAGCAGATGGTTAAGTAGAAGTCATTTTAGATGTTAAAAATAAAGATAATTAAGCTTCATAGGTTTAAAACTAATTAAAGCCATGTCTGCATGGTAGATTTTTCCAGTGCAAGTCAAGGTGTAAATTTAAACCAAGACTTTTGTAACATAATACCCTATGTAAGCACTCTTAGTTTGTTATGAGTTCCTGGTTTTGCTTTATGTTGCTTGGGAAATGGTTAAAACTAAATCAAAAAGTCTACTTGTTGTCACAATCACAGTATCCATATGGAGAGTCATTGCAGTTCAATCATCCAGCTATTTTGACGTAATATTTGCATGAAGAAAGGCTTTATATTTTGCTGAAACTCTGCCATTCCCCTTTACTGACTATTAACAAATCTTTGTAAAGCTGCATAGAACTCTGATTAATCCTTCATGAGGTCCTACATTTTTAGTTAATTGCAGTTGAAATGGTGTAGCACTTTGGATTTTCCTTTTTTACTATTACCAATATATTTGCATATATAAAAGATTTCTCCTCTACAATCTGCTGCCTCTCTCTCTAATTAACTGAAGTTACTATCTAGCATAGCAGGAAGTACTGATCTAATGACAATTCTTAGGTGTTTAAAGCATTTACCGGGTAACTTCTTGAGAAGGCCCTTAGATGTTGCAGTAATTCTTAGGCACTAGGCCCAGTGCTAGACAGTTAGGCTCCTTGAACAATGCATGTCTCAAAGTGGTATTCAAATCACCCAGTACACTGAGCAGGGATATGCTTAGAGGCATGTTGACCACAGGAGCTTGTAAATTCGTCAGATCAGAAACTGAGAGTAGAAGAGACCATTCCCTATTGGTGGTTCATCCACATAAACTTGTCTGGAGAAGGTTCTTGCTGCCTCCATTGCAGTGGATTCTTGCAGAGCTTCTGCTGGGTCACTGATAGGAGGGAACTGCAATGACTGCAAGTGTATTACTAACCTAGTTTCCTGTCCTCACATAGGAAGTCTCCTGAAATAGGCCTGTCTTCAGAATCATTGCAAAAAACTGTGGGGAAATTAAAATCTTACAGTTTTCTCTGCTTCCACCACAGGGGTTTCTAGCACTTGCTTGTTAAGCAAAATAGAATAGCCGTGCTATGATGTTGTAATTGTGCCTGGCTCTTTCTTTTGTATTTTTAATAGAAATTAAAATCTAAATCTACAAGTTCCACATCTGAAACCAATAGTGGTTCTGTGCAGGCTTGTGGTAAGAGGTAAGTGAAAAACACTTTGGTGAACCTAATGCATGTGTGAGAAGCAGCCATAACCAGTTGGTTGATTCTGTTACAGTGATTCACAACTAGGGTGCCCTGAGATCTTTTAAGGGTGCCGTAAAGTCCCATACAAGATGAGCACGGTTAGGTATGTAAGCATTTCCACAAGGCCCAAGCTAAACTCAAAGATTTCAAATAGGAGTTTAGTGTCAAATATATTCTGACATATGGTAGTTGTAAGTTCTTTGCAACAAGAATATTGCTTAATTTTTTTCCATAGTCAAAATCCAAGTGAAAGCAAAGAGCTGAATTTTTCCAGAGTGGCTGGAGTGTAAAAATGTTGAGAACCACTATTCTATTACTGTTAAAACTGTATTAACACAATAACAACTCAGAATTCAGCGAAGCTTTTCCTTAGGAAAAAAATAGAAGATTGTAGCAATTTGACAGTTTGTGACTCCAAAGCAAAGGAAGTAGTAGCATAGAAGATTATTGCAATTGTAAAGTTGTGCCACATTAAAAAGTTTTAGCTTTTCTTCAAAATAAATATTTTCTTCATTTTTCTTCATTTAAGTTTTCTGTGCTATTTGATGAACATTACATAAAGTACTGTATTTCTATGACTCCTGCTAATATGCATGTTGAAAAACAGTTAAGTCTTTAAACACCTGTGTGCTCAGCCCATGCCCAATAAAGTAACAGTTACAATATAAATACTGTGCTTTGTAACTCTACTGAAAGTAATGGACTCTCTGAAAAGGTACATGTGCTGACTGGGACATGATACACAAAGGTTAGCTTAAGTTGGTAATATATTCCTTTCTCCAAAGTGTTTTACTTAAAACTTACTATTTTTCTTTTTAAATTCACGTAGATGTTGTCCAGTGTATCTTGGTGGAAGCACTGCACTATATGGATTAGGAACAAATATTTCAAAGAGGTAGGACATCTGAAAGATCTGTTCTAGTTGCATTATTACAATCCTTACCATGTTTACAATGTTTATTCTATTCTGAGTTTTAATAGTACAATGAAATAAAGTTTTCCCTACATACACATGTAAGAGAAAAATCACATGGAATTTAGTTTCTATTTTGTGAAAATGCTTTAAAGAAGATTTCTTGAGATTTATCTGCTTACCATTGATACTAAAGATTCCATGGCTCTTTTAATAAAAATAAGGTTTCTTGCTATATCATTAGCCAGAATTCTCTTTTCTCCCTCAACTGTTCTGTTGCAATTTATCTTCTTTTTACTACTGGTGTAAACATAGTTTAAATATACAATAGATTCTATATGCTTTGCAAGATTTAGCTGCTCTCTGCCTCCCATGCTCTGTGCTTACCCTACCAATTCTTCCCTGCAGCCTTGGGCCCCCACCGCACCCAGTCTGCACACCTCCCACTGCCACTTCTCCCACCAGTCCACCCCACCACATTCCCCTTTACCTTTGCTCCGGTGCTAGGAGGGTCCATCCCTGCTATAGCCTGAAGCACAGAGAATGGCCTCAGACCGGCACTGCTGCTGCAGGGCCGGTTACAGTTACATGCCACCACTACAGGGCTGGAGTGAGACAATGTTCAGTGCCCCAGGCTGCAACAGGGATGGAACCTGCCAGTGCTTGAGCTAAGGTAAATGGCAGATGAAGGGGCAGGCAGGGGTAGAGACTTTGTTGGGGAGGAGGGAAGGGCTGGGAGGGGTCCAAAGAGGTGGGGGTGCAGAAGTGCAGGGTGAAGAAGAGGGGGACAGGGGTCTGAGGTTGTTGGGGGGGCAAGCACAAGGGTGGGTAAGTAGGGGGAGAGACAGGTGTCAGGGAGAAAGCTGCATGCCTTCCGCACTGCCTGTCCCACCTCTATACTACCTACCCCCCTACTGCCTGTCCACCACTGTTCCCTCCACTGCCTGCCCCATTACTGCCCTCCTCATAACCTGTCTCCCCCACTGCCTACAGTATTGTGGGGAACAAATTAAAACTATCCTACAATAATTAGATTCTATGCATAGAAAATTATAAGAAATTTTTTATGGGTGGTTGTCTTAATTTCAGGGTCGTCTTGGATTCACATACAGACAGTAAAACCTGCAGCAAAAAGCTGAGTTTATCCTTAATTCATCAACCCACTGTAAACTAGATGGGTTGCAAACCACCCAGATAGAAATGATCTAAGTTTAACTGTATGCAGCATCGTAACTATAACTTGAATAAGTCTGAAGATTTGTGTAGAAATACTTAAACATTTTCCAGATTGTACTTGTATTTATAGTAAGCATAAAGTTTTATGACTTGATCTTGTTCTTTCTAGCAGCTGGTCAAATTCCTTTTGAGTTGAATAGGTAAAGTAACTGGTCCTTAAATTAAAGACAGCATTTCAAGTGTGTTCTCAGTTATACTGTCAAAACCATGTTTCGGACCCTAAGTAGAAGTTACCTGATTTACAGGGAAGCTTCCATAGTTCCTAGAGATGCCACTGAGGAAGGTAATGCTATTCTAATTTTTAAGAAAGAAATATAAAGGCTCTTAAATTCATATTTAGGCACCAACTTTAGGCTAACTTATTTTGAAAACTTTAGCCAGAAACTTTTCTATATAATAAATGATGGTCAGGCCTCACTTAGGTATTGTGTACCATTCTGAGTTCTAGAGTTTAAAAAGGATGTGAAGACACTGGAAATGCTCCAAAGGCAAGCAACAAGATAATAGAAGGGTTAGAACACAATCTGTAAGAGTAAAGGTAGAAAGAAGAGTTTGACAAAAAGGAGATTAAGGAGAGACACGATTGCAGTGTTCAGATATTTCAAATATTCTTCCTTGGCAGAGAGGACAGGACATGAAGCAATGGGTTTAAACTTCACCAAAGCAGGTTTAGATTGAAAAGGAGGAAAAACATCCTTGCTATCAAAACAGTAGGGCAGTGGAACAAGCTGCCCAGGGAAGTTATGGTAGCACCTTTATTGAAGAAAAGGCTAGATGGCCCTTTGTCTGGGATAATAGAGGAATAGCACATCCTGCATCTGTGCAGGGGCTTAGATGAAATGACCCTTGAGGTCACTTCCAACCTCACGATTCTGAGTTCAAATAATTACCTGAAAACCTTTAAGAGATCATACACTGCATTTTTCCCCTACTTACCTCTGAAAAATCAGCAGATTGCAATTTCACTGAACTTTAAGTCAATCTCTAAAGGATTTTTTTAAACTCTGGTTTATATGCCCTTTTCTTCTTGATGATGTATAAAGAAGGTGTTAAAGGGTTTGAAAGTTGTCCTTTGTTTTTCACTCTTAGATGTCAAAGTTAGTTTTATCTTGTTTTACTAGAGGAGCTCTGGGTACCTCACGACTGCTTATTTTACACTCTAATGTCTTAATTGAAGGAGTGCAGGTGTAGAATCTGTGAAGATGTTTTGCTCCAGAATGATGATTAATCATTCCAATGAAAGGTTAATAAAAAACAAACCAATGTTTGTAACCAGCCACTAAAGAACACGCTCCTCCAGAGCCCAGATTCCTGAGTCAAAATCATAGAAAAATATCCAATGGGAACCTCAAGAGCTCACCTATTTCAGCCCCCTGTTAACGACTGGTCACTCCTGTCTATACCATCCTGGACAAATGCTTATTTCTACTTAAAAACTTCCAATGATGGTGATTCCACATCTTGTTAGGCAGTCTGTTCCATTGCTTAACAACCATCAGAATTAGAAAATTCTTCTTGATATCTAACCTAAGTCTCCTGTGCTGTAGTTTAAGCTCAGGTCTTGCCTTATCTGCCATGTTTCCCAAGAGCCCTGATCATGTTGTTGCTTTCCTTTGGACTCTCTCCAATTTGTCCCCCACTGTCTGGGAGCATTGTTGGTACAGGTGCCTCCCAGCTGTTAACCTGGCTTCATTTCCTCACAAAATCAGTAGCAAATCCTAGTAAATGTCCACTATTAACAAATATTTGTGAAACCCACTGAGAAAGTATGTACTTTAACCATGTCTGATGGTTGATATAGAAAGATAACAGCTTAAACTTGTTATTACCACCAGTTATTCTATTAGTGCAAAGTGAGCAGCTCCATGCTGTGGGTCTAAAAGTTCTAACCTTGCTGGTTATTGATACGGAAGTCAGAATTGTTTCATGTGCTGGAACTTTTGGGTGGGGTGAGTGTTGTTTACTTTTTAAAAACCTAGAAAATTACACGCAAAATAATTTCATTAAAAGAACACAGAAGTTGTAAACCCAAAGCATGCAGTTTGGAAAATGTAAAAAGCAGGGTTACTTATGCAAACTTTTATTGGTCCCAACTGGTATGTTCATTATGAGATAGTCTAAGCACAGGAGCACATGCTGTATTTTCCACAAAATGCTTTTCTCCTACAGTGAACAAGGATGGATGACGCTCTAGGGATCAGTCATGCAGTAAATAAAGTTGGTGTCTGTTGGTTACTTGCCTCATTTGTTGCAGAAGTTAGAAGGTGTTTAGTGAATGAGGCAAAGGAGTGCTAAAGGTGAAAGCATGGTCTCATGTTTAAAGAAATTGAATACTACCCTGAAGTATTGGATTCTGTCACTGCTCTGTCACAGTATCCCTAGGTGATACTGAGCAAATCACTTTAAAATTTTCACAGGCAACCATGCATGTTCTGCATTTTTAGGTGACTGACTTGTAGCAGTGCTGAGCAACCAGTGCTGTAACAAATCAAACAGAGCAGTCACACATTTTTAATGCATATTTTTATAAGTACATTTGTAATTTTATTTTTTACATATTTTACGTTTAATACGTTTTACAATACTGTCTCTGTTTAATCTGAAATACCAGATCCTAGATGTCTCAGACTGGTTACTTAAAATTAATGAATGCAAGTGATCATTGTAGCTTTACTCCTCACAAGATTGTTGTCAAAATAGTTAATTTACATTTGTAAAGCCTCTAGATGCCATAGAACGTGAGGTTTGCTATAAAATGGCCTATCAGGAAAATTACATTTCTGTATTCAGTACAGAGTAGAATGATGAGGAGCAAATAAGATATGGCAGTATACTGAATGAAGAGATTAAAATGTAATGCTAACTATATAAAAAGAAAAGTCTTATTTACTGAATGAGTTAGGAATCCTTTTGAAGTGTATGTAGTAATTTAATTAAAGCACATGTCATAAAGCATATGCATAAGGGGCACAAATAAATGCTGAACAGACAACCTAAATTCTGGCATTTTCTTAATTTTTAAGTCCTTAATTTTGAAATATTAATATTTATGTAGCTTTTTGTGTGTAACAGTACTGACATTTGGCTCTCTTGTTTTGAACAGAACATGTGATAAGCTACGTTGTACTGCCTGTGACTTCCGTGTAGCACACTATGATGATTACTTTTGGGATAAGTCGTGTGATTACCTGTTTTTCAGGTATGTCTCAGGTGGGTTTGTAATTAGTACTTTGGGGTTAATATGCTTATCAGAAATGTGAACTGTACAAGTCCAGGCCATATTTACTGCTGGCATCAATAACTGGTATTTCATATAAAGCAATAGCTCTTTTTTTACTAATGAAGAAATATGGTCCCTGCTGTTCTTCAGCAGTATGTCTAATTCATTAATGAATATTTTTACATATACCTGTTCCCTTATTGTCACAGACTGTCATTACTTCTGTCAGGTTTTTTCCTCCACTGTAATTGTGATTGTGCAGTCTACAAAAGATATTAAGTGAGTTACTAATAGTTTAACTCTAAGTTGATTTTTTTTAAAGTGAAGTCCATCAAATTGCCAGAAGTTCTCCATAGGGAAGAATTTGGACTAGCCATTTTGAAAGATTTTGCTTTCTTGATTAAAATTGTTCTGTTTTGTTTTTCAAAGAAGTGTGAAGTCTGAGTTTACCCATTAGACATTTTCTGTTTCTAAATTCTCTGTTAGATTGTATCTACCAACAAAGAGGTTTTATTTTACTTTATACATTGAATTTAGGTATAGAGCATTTCACTTGTTTTGATAAAATCTCTTTTATTGTGGTATGAGGATCAAGTTAAGTGGATGTTCAGATTGTGTGACCAGTAGAGGGTGTACTATAGCTTGCATAGAACACTAAACAGTTTGCTGTATTCATAAAAATATGTTACTGGATCATCTTGTTCTATATAATCTCTCTCATGCTGTTTGTTGTAGGTCTTCTCTTGTTTTCTTTCTGATCAAGAATATGAATCTCTCTTAAAGAGAGATTCCTGCTTTTCTCAGTAATGCAAATTATTAGTAAAAACCACTTTGGACTGACAGTTTTCTGAAGTGGCTGTATGTGTTCTCTGTGTATTAACATATGTTCTTCACTTGATTAGTAATTAGATAGTTTAATTAAATAAAGTGAAAGGCGTTATCTTGATTACAGTGTATAACCTTTAACAGGATTTTCAGTTATTTTAATTTAGGTTAATCTGTATTTAAAACAAATTAGGGGATTAAACAAATAAATAAACTAGCATCTGTCACCAGTCTTTCTAATCTTATTGATTTCTATTGGAGAATTTTAATTCATAGTAAGAATGTAATATTTGAACATTTATGGGAGTGGCCAGTGATGTCTTGGTATATTTAGCAAGATCAGGCTAAAAACAATCAGCAGTGGTTGTAACATTACCCCATGTTTTAAACAAGTTTTAAATTAACTTTTACACTGGTTATTTCTGCCTCTCTGCACTGATGGATTTTAAACGAAGCATCATTTGTGATTTGCTACATGTTCCTCCTATTTTCTTCCAGTCTGTACTGTGTGATATGACCTCTCCCCTCATCATCTTCCATTGCAGATCCCATACAGGCTAACTTGGATAGTTTTTCTTTACAGTTGAATTTGACTTTATATAGGGACTCATTTTATTATACAGTTCATCCAATTTAAGCTAATCGTTGTGTTAACGTAAACAAAATGAATACTTAGAATATACCCTATAGAAAAGATCAGTACCTTTATGTATGATTCCCAAGTAGAAGAGCTATTGCATAATTCTTGAATATTTCTCCCTCGTTGCATCTTTGAAAGGGGGAGTTGGGACCTCCTGCAGAACTGGCAGGATTATGATGTACAAAAACTTAAGGTTTTAACAGACTTGCAGAAGACAGGAGGTGATGTCACATGTTCAATGTAACACTCACTAAGCACAGTTAAAATGCAAGCAGATACAGGTGGAAGCTGTTTCGTATGTGTAAAGTGCCATCCATGTTGCAGTTGTTTGCTTTCAGGCAAGGGTTATCTCCTAACACATACTACCTTTAATAGGTCACTCCATTCCAATAATCAGTAACTGCATTCCAGTGATTTAAAATAATGGCTACCACCGTAAACACATGCAACTTTATAATGAAGCACAACTTTCCAATGCTTTGTAACTGTTGCAGTGAACCAGTTATTCCAACCCTCCCCCTTCCCTCTCCTCCCCTCCCCCCCGCCGTTAACATGTACTAATTTAATACAGCACAAAATTCCAGTAATTTGCAACTGTTGGAGTGAACATGTAACAGGGCCCAGGGACTCTGCCCCGAGAATCTCACTTGGGAAAGCATTCTACTCAGGAGAGCACTACACACATGAATAAATCCCATTGAAACGCCCTGTGTACTTGTGATTGGGGGATTCATATTGACTTAAGTCATGTGCCACAGCATAACTCTTGGACTACGTGAGAGAATGACTGTTGTGCTTTAGTTGCACTCTGATTGCTGATCCATAATTTCCTAATGTTGAGGGATTTATATGAAGGACAGAGAACAAGCTGGTACTGCCCCGGTCACAAATATATATCAGTTTTATATTGCTTGCAGATTTCTGGAGGGATGGTGTGTGGAGAGTATCTGTCTCTCTGCCCTCTGCAAACTTCTACAGTATCTCTATCCTCAGACCTTAGTCTTCATAGATTCACAACAGGAGGGACCCCATAGTTTTTTATCATAGTTACCACAGTAGTTGTACAGTGGATCATTAAAAACAGTAGAGTAGAAGGAGTTCTGGCTCAAAATACTTTTCATTCTTGAATTTATTTAGTTTTTTGCATCACTCTTTATCACTTTATCAAGAGATAAATTTCAGATCAGCCTGCAGCCATCTAAGCCTGTAGCCCTCCTTATTAAATCAGAGGTGCTATTGCAATATAAATAGCACACCACTTACCATGAGGATGATGTTTTAAAATTTAAATACCATGAGCATGATGTTTAAAATTTAAAATTAAAGTTTACTGGCCTACTAACTAGCTTCATTCAGTACTTGTCAATGATGCCTTTTTTTGAATAGACTCTGTGTTTGCATAGATTCCACAGTGGCAGTACTTGCACTGCAGTAGTCCATTACTGACCAGGGAATTGGTTTTGAGGGCAGCAGGACTGCTTTTAATGGAAGGACTTGTGTGCTGCTGGTCCTCCTCAGGATTTTTAGCTATTGCTCCAGCACATACAGCTGAAGTGACCCAATTTCTGCTTATGGCCTTATGCAGACTTTCAGTTTCTCCTGGGAGAGCCACTGCTTGTTCAATGAGCTTTAAAACCCCCCTGCCTCCATTTTTCAGTGCAGGAACACTAATACACAAGACACTGGAGTCTACTGGAGTGCAGTAATTACCATCCTGCAACAGGCTCCAGCAGGCTCAATGAATAGAGTCTGTTCCAAAACACTGTAATTACAGCACATCAGAGCAGCCTTGCTGCTTATGTATAGATGTTCAGGCTTTTTCTTCCAGAGAAAAAGTGGCTGCTTCAAGAGAAAAATAACCTGGGAACAGCCATGGTTAAATCACTCCAAGAAGAGTTTCTCTTGGGAGAGTGAAGGTCTGTACATGTTATATGTTCTTAAACTATATGTATTTTATTACTAAAAACTCATGACAGTGAAAGAATGAGATCTGGGGCGATCTTGGGGTTCTTTGGATATGAAGAGGCCAGGTGGATGCAGGGAACATGGTTGAGAGAATTTAGAGCAGTAGTCATTGCTGTTCCCTGTGGACATTTCCTGCGCAGACTCACACTGCTATAGAAGGAACAGGGAGTTGCAGCTGTTGCGTTACAGCTGCATCTATTATAAGAAAAACCCTATGGGGAGGAGGTTTAAAGCAACAAACGTTAATCAGGTATCTTTACAAAAGGTAGTCTGTTCAAAGTGGTTTCAGCAGAATACTGTGGGCTTAATCCTTTTCTCAGAATCGCACATCATTCCTGTGGAAGTGGACTGATTATATCCATATCAAAGTTTATCTCCAGGCATTATGTATCTTATGCTTTAAAAAAATTGCACAATTCTAACATGGACTTACGCACTTGTTAGGAATAATATGCCTGAGCTCAGCAAGTTAAGAGCGAAGATGATCAAAAAGAAAGGATCCCGGGCTTATGCTTGCCAGTGCAGCTGGAGGTCCATTGACGAGTTAACCAATCTCCAAACAGACCGGCAACTTCACTGGGTTTGTGGTAAACATGCAGAATGAAGTCTTCGCACATTCTAAGTACGTACTCCTGTTTAAAAATAGACTTTCAGATCATAAACTCAAGCTGTGCCCCACTCAGTTTTCTGAGAACAGATGAGAACTTGAACATTTCATCTAGAAATAGACTGTGACACTAAATTCAAAATGATTGCCTTTCTCTCACTGCAGTGGTCTCGTGAGTGCAGAGGAACTGGATTAGTAGAGGAAATATCCACCGTGAAGGTCTGTGGTTCTCTAGAAACCAGGTGCTGGTGACATTGGAAATGCAAATTATAAATTAGCAAAGGAGAGCTTCAAGCTAACAGTAGCAAGTCTGAGAAGAAGCCTGGGGAACTGAGCATGAGGTATAGCAAAAATGAAAAGTAGAGGCTCTAGTCAGCTTCTCTGAGTTATTAGAAAGCCTTGTTCCCTGTGTCTGCAAGATCTGGGACTCCAAAAGAGAGAGAAATGACAGGGCTGGGAAGCAGCTGAACCATGTGATACAGTCTCACAACTGGGAGGATAATTGCATGGAGTGGAAGCATTAATTTGACACTTACCTGCAGGTGGTCGCAAGAAGTGTTACCCAAAAGTCAGTAGCAGAGCAACTTCTAAAGTACAAGAACAGGACCAGCTATTGTCAGAGAGACCTTTCTTTTACCCACCAATACCACAACTTACAGACTTTGAAGAGTGCTCTTTCATATCCTTGGTCCCCTCTGCCCCCTCCCTCCAGACTCTTGACTCCTCCAAACCTTTTTTCCAGAGGAGTATTCTATGACTCAGGTTTATTTCAGTTAATTTGTTGAACTTTCCTTTCCCTCTCCTTTAGCCACACTGGAGGGAAAGGAACAACATATGCACTCAACGCATCTTTCAATTTGTACTATTTCCAGAATAATTTGAGAGAATTATACGTTCTACAATTATTTAACAGTTTTGTTTCAGGAGAAAAAGTAGTTGCATTTAAGTGTGTGACAAAATCATACCCCACTGATATGTGTGCTGAGAGTTTGGAGGGGTTCTGGATACAAAGTTTGTTTTTAAAAAAAACCTGTGCGCAGCTAAGTTGTAACTAGTTATTTGCATTTTCCCCTTAACATTGTAAAACAGCTTCCAGTATTATGTTATTTGGTGAGAAGACTTAATGTAATATTAATGTCCCTGTAGATGTATATACTTTTGCTTTTTCGCCTGCCTATATAAAATATGCACCTTTGCACTAAAATAGTATCCTCATGCTATGGAAATCATTATATTGAAAAATGTACTGTAACTTCAGTGCTCCAAAGCATGAGGATACTATTTTATACAGTGAAGTAAAAAAATGGAATGGAAAAATGTAAATATCTTTATAGTAGGTAATATTGTAAGATTTACATCAGAATTGTTTGTTGTATGCAATTCCAGGTATACAAAATAGAAACCAGCTTTTAAAGCCCTTCATATTTTTATTAGTATCAGTACAAATGTGAGAAATGGTGTCTGGCAAAAAAGAAAAACCAGGCTTGTGTGGGCAGCATGAATGAAACAACTTAGAAGCAGGATAATACTGACACTATTTTTGGTGGGCTTTTTGTATATCTTTTTTATAAAGATTGTTCTACGTGGGTTGCTCCAATAAATGGAAATTCTTACATTTGCAAAAATATATTTCCTTGACTCTTTTATTGCTGCTGTGAGTCATCCTCATCTAGCCATTTAAACTGTCTTGTCACATCCCTGAAGAATTTTGGTTGCCAGTAAAATTTGGGAAGTGTTCTGCTCATTAGATCTGTCTGGATTTGATCAGTTCAACTTCTGTGTGAGGCTTTCAAAAACTTCTTCAGAACAAGGTCCCAGCTCTTAGAGAATATAGAACTGCAGGTTCCAGGAGACAGGCAAACCCATAAGCCAGTTGGGCTGATGCTGTTGGAAAGATTCAATTTACCTGCCTGCTGTTTATAAAGAGCACCACCATGCTCAATTGGGATTTGTACTGAGTTTACTTCAGATTATCTGAGAGGCTTCCATACTGAGAACTCTGGAGTTGGGGATAGAGAAGAAACCTATAGTCAGAATTTGATTTAGTAAAAAGCACTCCCCCCTATGAAGGAAGTTGATCAGCTCTTCAGAGTGCTAAGTTGCTTTGGTTTTGTCTGTCTTTTAGGTCAGACAATTTAGCCCAGGGAAACTTCTACAAAGCCTGTGCCACCAAGTTTGTATTTAGAAGGAGCCACTCTTTTATGGACCTAATGTTAAATACTTTTGTTTGTAAAGGATGATATATAAATTACTTAACTTCAGGCAGTCTTGGTATTGTTCTGGACTTTGGGAAAGCTGGGCTGGGTTACCATTTTTTTCTTTCTGAGTGTAGCAGCATCTGGGAGGCAGCTGAACAACTGAATCAAAGACAGAAATGAATAGGTAACAGTCTCTGTTCTCAAAGCCAACAAGCAGAGAAGAGAAGATGGACCAACCTACTGGTTTGGGAGGAGGAGAGGAAGAGAAAAGTGAGGAATCAAAATATCAAATGGGACTTGAAAGTACAATAAGTATACAAAACCCAAAACATTTTGGTGGCAGGAAAATGAAGGATGAATCTATTTACAATATCGATCATCTGTTCTCCTAGGTCACCTCATGCTGTTTTGCAAATAAAGGAAATTGTGGAAACTATGTTCTTTTATGGATGAGAAAGTTACCAGCAAATAGCAGCAAACATACAAGCATATAATAGTAAAAAAAACTTGCATATTAGGGACTTGAGGTGGCTTTTATTTGAAGATGAGGACATAGGTTTGAGTATTCCACCAAAACTATCACATTTCTTCAATAACTTGTCTGCAGCCTTGTTCATAACACTGGATATAAGAATTCACATGAATGAAAAAGGTATTCATTGCAAGAAAAGGTTTATTGCAAGAAAATAAATCTATAAGAAAAGCATTCAATTTGAAATATAATCCTATTTTAATTTCCAAACATTTTGTCTTCTTGTTGTTAGAGTACAACTGTGCAGGAATAAAATGACAGAATTGAACATTAAAGAAAAAAGCAAATTAAAATTATCACCTAACAAATATTTAGTTATGTATCTTGCTTATTTTTCCTGCAAAATATAGGATATTAAACTTGGAGTCATGATTGACCAATGTGATGCTGTGGCTGGCAAAGCAAACTCTGGTGTGCATCCACTGATGCATCTCAAGCAAAACCAGGGACATCATCCTCCCACTTTACTTGGCCTTGATGAGGCCAGAGCTGGAGTACTGTGTCCAGTTTTGGGCCCCCCACTTCAGGAGGGATGTGGAAAAGCTTGAGAGAGTCCAGAGAAGAATCACTCCTATGATCTAATGCCTGGAGGGCAGGTAGGCCATACGAGGAGAGGCAGAGGGATTTGGGACTCTTGAGTCTGGAAAAGAGAAGGCTCAGGGGTAACTTGGTAACAGCCTACAATTATATAAAGGGTACATCAGGACCTGGGAGAAGAGCTGTTCACCAGAGCTCTCCAAGGGATGACGGTCTAATGGCCACAAACTCCAGGAAGGCCAATTTAGACTAGACGTAAGGAAAAAGTTCTTTACAATGTGTGTGTCCAGGGTCTGGAGCAGACTCCCCCCAGAGGTGGTGCAAGCACCTACTCTGGACCCTTTCAAAAACATCTGGATATTTTTCTTGCTGGGATCACTTGATCCCAGCTGCCTTCTTGCCTATGGTGTGGGGGCTGGACTCAATGATTTCACGAGGTCCCTTCCAGCCCCTAGTATCTATGAAATCTATTAAATTGAGTCTGCTGGAGCATAGTAATTACCATGCTCCAGCAACCTCCATTGTCTCACGTATCAGCATCCATGCAGTTCAAAATGGTGGCAGGGGCACTTTAACTGAATCCCATTCAATGAGCTTTAGTTAAATCATTTTAACTAAATTGCTGCCATTTTGAAGTGCGAGGACGCTGATACATGAGACGCTCGAGGCACTTCAATTAGAGCAGCTCTCAGAGGATGTGACTTGTGAAGGGCAGCCTATTGTGGTGTGCCTATCCAAAAGGAATCTTATCAACACAGGTGCTGCCATACATGAGCTTTATGCTGAAGAGAACTCTGTGCCTACTGCAATAGCTTCTACAAAAAAATGCCAGGTAAGATTAGGAGAAGAAACCAATTCCTGAGTACATCGTCTGTGGACAGCTTTCCAGATTATAGCAGACAGAGAATATGCATTCACATTGAGTCTTGTCCTGACAAACAAGTTAGCACAGGAGAGCCTATGAAACTAGTAATAACTTAGGAAGATATAGTCACATTCATCAGACATATGTCTCTTATTAAACGCATGCAGCTCCACTGAAGGCAGGCAGGTTGCATGGATGCAAAAAGGGAACTAGACTAGTGTTGGATTCATCCTGGGAAAAATGCCATAACCCAACTCCTGTAAAGGGAGACTCCTTTATATTTTCACAGCAGTGAGGGAACAGTAGTGTTTCTGGCTCAGACCCATATCATCTAGTGCAGAGTGAATTTTCACATAAGGCATCAGCATGTGCAGCTAGTCAAATCAAAGAGATCTTAACAGGCTGCCCAAGTGGCAGTAAGAGATGACACTGCACCCTGGCCCTGGGTCAGAATTGATTTTAGCAGCTATAAATATTTACACACTAAAAAGTTCCAGTTGAGCTGAAGTCCTGTGGGGGAGGGTATTCGTTCAAGCATAGAAATGCAATGATCTCTGATCTGCAAAGTGAATCTCACTCTGAAGAGACAAAAATATTCATTTTACTGATAACTTTTACCACCTGTTTATTACAAGACAGCATACTGTTAGGATTCAGAGTTAATATTAGAAAGGGAAACAATTCATTTTAGTAAAGTGTATTCAAGAAAGAGGTCATAATGAATATATTCTTTTGCATGTCAAAAATAACTACCTAACCCAGACTATAATGAGCAGAACCATGCAGAGCAGAGTACCTCCTCTTCACTCTCGTTTGGCTCGCTTCATAAAAAAACAGCGATACTGGCTTTTCTAGAAAAAGAAACTGAGTTACTAAAATAAACATAAAATGTTAAATCGATAACTGTCCAACAGGTGGGTTGTACAGCAGTTACAAATGTGGCATTCAATCATGCAGTCCTGGTTAAAACAATTTTATTTCAGTGACCTTAAAACATTTGAATCTGTGTCATTTAGCTATAAACTACAGGAGCATACATCTCTTTTACTGCTATCTTCAAACAAGGAAGTCATCACAATCCTTCTCCAATAAAAGTTACATTCCCCTCTCTCCCATTTCATTTTTTGCTATGGCTCAGTAGAGATTATGTAGCTTTTATACCAGGACTGGGTAGATGTTTGCTTTGGAGTTTAAGACCTCATAAAGTGCAGTAAGTTTTTAGATAGTATATATGTAATTCAGTATGTGGAAACAGGGTAAGTTTTCAAAGGCAGAGAAAGCGGTAAAAGGCCAGCATTTGGCACCAAGAAGCAAGATGCATCAATGAATGTAGAAAGCATTTTAGAAGATTATCTAGATTGTATGAAAGTCAAAGTAACTGGAGAGTGAATTTGACAGATAGCTTCTACAAAGCTTCACTGTATGAAGTTATAGTGACACAGTGGGGCAAATGATGGTGCACT